AGGGCTGCTATCTCACTTTATCCTTGGGACTAGGAAAATTTGCTTGGAAGTTCATATTGAAAGAAAGTCCCCGTGCTATTTAATTTACTATTATAAAGCACTGCGGTATAAAGCAGAAACATTTTTCATTATCACAATTTAACAAAGAGAAGATTAAGTTAGATGTTACTGAGACCATGTAATAATCTGTTGCTGAAAGAAAAGCGGGTGGGGTGTGGGGATTATACAGTAACTTAGAAAACACAAATATACAACAACACTGACTACTAATATAAGGTGAAGAAAACCCAAGCTTCTGCTCATCTCTTTCTATTTTAAGACACTGTGCATGGATATTTAAAATAATAATGCAGTGGTTTCTAAACTGTTTACCTATTTTTCCTTGGAGGATTATGCTTGTACAAGTCTAATAAACATAAACAGATGCCTACAAGGAGAAATCTGAGACCTTGGTGCTTTCTGCAATATAGGCAGTGATTGCTACATATGCAAGCATTGAAACTGATAATGGCACATTTGAATGGTGTTTTCTGCAGTGCTACTTGTTTCTTAAAGAAACATCGATTTCCCAACGGTCTTCAACAATAAARGAGWAAGTGCSATACAGTAAAAGGAGCACTAAATAAGTTTGGGAATACTTATTTAGACTAWTCCAGAGTCTTACTGGAAGGATTMAWATCTGTTTTCTTATAAAACACTAACWGTACCYRCCAYGCATTGCTGTGGCCAACMTTCCCTCACTCTTTCTCTCYTCCTTTCTCTTCCTTCCTCTTCCTTCCCTCCCTCTTTCCTTCCTTCCTTMCATTTTTATCTTTCCTTCTCTCCTTCTTTCCTTCTCTTCCTCTTCCCTTCCTCCCCCSCCCCTTTTCTTTYACTTCCTCTTTCTCCCCTTTCTTCCTTCTCTACCTATTCTTGGACTTCAACTTCCASCAGTCCWCCTGATTGATCTACCTACCTATCTATCTATCTATCTAYCTATCTAYCTATCTATMTCTAATCTATCTATCTTATCTATCTGGTGGACTGATGGCAGTTGCAGTCCAGGAATAGGAAATTGGAAATATGAAGGGATTGGGATGCTCTCAAAGAAATCCAWGGAGAAGAAAGCTTGCAKCTTGGAAGCAGTGYATWTGGATCATCCTCATCTCYTAAAGGGCCTGGTCTAGTGGCTGCTGGGAATTGTAGTCTGGAAARGAGTGTGGATATGCTATCATGTGTGTTGTTTGCCAAGGGAAGTCGTATTTGCACGTGCGCTGTAGTGTCTTTTTGGAGGTCTTTTTGCTTTTAAGTCCCTTCCACTGTGTTTTTCAGTGTTTTTAAGAGTGATGGTCACTCATTGGCCTGATAGGTGTATTGTGTCCAAATTTTGTGTCAATTCATCAAGTGGTTTTTGAGTTATGCTAATCCCACAAACGAACATTACATTTGTATTTATATATATTTGATTGCATCTGAAAAGTTACAGAAGCTGAGCTCCAGATTTGAAGTTCACAAAAATACAAACTTTTGGAGACAATTTCAAAACAAGCATCTCTGATGGACTCAGTGGAGTAATGCGGACCGTCACTCCAAATATTATGAAATTTAACTTTTGAAAAATGCAGCTGGATTAAGTGACTATTGAAACACTAATAATAATTTCAAAATGAAAGACTAATTACAAATTAAAGGCATGGTAATGTTTGGAGGACATTTGGAATTTTCCACATTATGTGCTGATTTTCTTGGTAAAATGAAAGAGATTCTTCTGTATTGTTTAGCAGAGCACTCAGCATTACTGAATTATATTAGAATTAGATATTTTTGAGATTCAGCCTCTAGGGCTAATAATGTCCTTAGTGAGAAAATCACAAAATAATTTAGAGAGGTATTAAACAATTACCTCTAGGTCTGTTGTATAAAAGGTAATGCATTTACTCCCATTCTAATAGCAACAATGTGTAATTATTTAATACTATGGGCCCGCGTTTGTGAAATGATGGTTCCAACAGAGGTCTAATTGGTGAAATCTTTTCAGTAACCCATTTGTTTGTTTTTCCCCAACTGTTCTAGGAAAAGAAATGGCTAAATACACAGTATGCTGGGTCCCTGCAACCTGAAATAATCTTTTACATTAATAAGCTGCAGCATATGAAACTGGCAATTACTCATTTTATCATCAACTACTGTGTGAGGAACATTATAATGAATCACAAAGCCATGTTCTCAGTGAAAACACTGCTTCTCATTTTGGTGGATTTAAAAATAAACAGAGGAATGCTGCCTTTTTCTTTAGACTTTATATAAACGCTGTATGGTTATAAAACATATTTCACATGAATTAAAAATATAGTATGTGAATGCTTTCATTTGGAGGTGGGCATGCTGGAGGGATGTTACCTTAGGTTCAACACTATTGGATGATTTACCAACAATTTGGACTGCATAACTCTATGTTTAGGTCAGTGCTGTCCAACTTTGGTCCTCCAAGTGTTTTGGACGTCAACTCCCAGAATTCCTGAGTATTTGACAAGTTGGATAGGGATTCTGGGAGTTAGAATCCCAAACACCTGGAGGACCAAAAGTTGGACACCACTGATCTAGGTATTTCGCTCTTGGCCCACATTTTGCACCAAGAGCCCAGCTATTGAAAAGCTGCAATTGCCCCATCTCAAGTAGAATGGCTGGTTTTTACTGGTTCCTGTTGACTATCTGAGCTCCTATTAGCCACAAGAAGTATCTATAAAGTATGTTAAAGCCACAAGTTCATCTCCAAATGTATGTCTCAAGTATAAAAGGATGATCATTTGGGGATCTGCTGATATAAGGATGATGACATATAATCAACAAAAATATTCAGTGTATGCTGTTCACAAGAGTAATGATATTTACAATCCAATTTCCCCAAACCCATCAAACATACATTAAGACCCAAATTAATGCTATAAACATAATAAAAGAAGGAAGAATAAGCAATCCCACAGCCAGCATGGTAGCTTTTAGGTTGGCTTCCAAAATGCACTAGAATTAGCATTAAGCAATCCAGCAATTACTCATTAGTATGACACCACACTTAAAATTTCACGACTGATTAAAAGCAATTATGGTATAAACGTATACCATTCCCTTGCCTATTATTCTTCCATGTTAGACATACCATGAAAAAAAGCCCTGGAAATAAATTTTTTTAAATGACAAATGAATAATCAATGTAAAAGTCATACTTTATACTTAAGAGAGTCTAGAAGATCTATGTTTCTGTTTTTTTTAGTATCTCTGAATGAAATAGCAAGTTGGCCCAAAGGCATGCAGAACTCTAATCTATGTGATCAACTATTAAAAGTTAAGTTTTAGCTAACCTCCAAGTAACATTGACAAATATATAATCTAAAAACTAATTAACTCTTGAATTTAGCTTTCTATAGTGCTAGTTTTGAGATATCATACAATAAGAATGATGCTATTGAAAATGATGTACTGTCTGATGAAATTTTATGAACCTTATGTTTATACTCTTGTTAGGTTTCAAATATAACTAATAAAATATATATGGTATATAGCCTGGTTCGGTTAAAACAGGATCTTGTCTTAATAAACTGAGATATGTATGAGTCACATCTATGCAAGCTGTCCATCTGCTCCTTTTCGCTATTCCTGTATTCACATGTAAATAATGAAAACTCTTTAAATAACCATAGTTTCTTCTTATACCCACACTGAGAAACTATATTTGCAAAGACTGGAATAAACATCATCTTAAACTAACTTGATGTCATGGTTCAGGATACTGCTTTGTTCTAATCCTGGGACACATCTACATTAATTTCTTAATGTGAAGAGTTCCTGAATAAGCTTAGTGGCAGCCAAATGCTACATGGAGCTTCCAGGGCTTTGACCCACATTAACCACAGTTGTAGGGTTCTCTGAATTCTGACCCAGAATTCAGAACAAAAAACTTTGGGCCCATGTAAACAGTTGGCCTGGTTCCAAAACAGACTACCATGCCCTGGTTTTTCAGCTTGGTTGGCCCAGAGACATAGAAAGGCATTTACCATCTCCTCCTGTCCTCCATGTTACAACATCAACACTGGTTATAGTGATGTCAGGGCAACCAGGCGATTGGGGAAGGAAATGGGGATACGAGGGGGCCATTTCTCCTCTCTCCTTCCCATATCGCCCCATTGTTCCAGACAATGTCACTACAGATTTTGGCTGACCTACCAGACCTGTGTCACACCTGAAGACCACTGTGACATGGAGAGTGGGAGGGGATAGTAAGCATGGCCATCCAATGCTTCCAAACTGAATTTGGCATTGTTAGGCAGTTGAAAGACCTTCTCACCTCCACAGTACTCCAGTGGAGTGCTTTGTAAACCATCCTGGGGCCAATCTGGCATATACCCTACTGGATCAGCCCCAGATAATACGTCAGTGTAGATCCATCTCTGGTGAATCAAATTTCCCAGTCTGGATATAGCAGGAAATTGAAGAATGGCTCTAGTGCACCAAGACAAATCGACAGAGGAGATAGCAGGTCACAGGAGAATAGAGCACACAAGCATAAGGGCAGATGTTTCAATCAGGCTTCTATTTAACTCCACTGTTAAGTCATTTCCACCACTAAAAATGTAGTTTGCCAGTTGCATAATACATCACAGTTCCTCAGCTTGTAATGAATTACTTCATCAAAGTCAGTGTTTCTTCCCTATATCTTTGGCTTCTCAACACAAACAAAGATGCATGTTTGGACTACAGTTCTTTTCAGATTGTTCAGAATAGCCATAAACAACCATTGTGTTGCCTTAAGCTAGAGACACTGGAGATCACACAAAAAGGATATCCATTTTTAGTGCTGCAGCTAGTATGTTTCTGAACATTTTCAAACAATCACTGGGTATCAAGCCATGACTACATTTTTCAGAAACACAGCAATATTTACATTTGCCACTATGATTCGAACTGGAGGTCACCAAAGAGTAATTGCAGAGCAACTGTCACAGAAGGATAATAATAATCCATACCTGAGCAATGGCTGTTTTGGATAAGAAGGCTGGTCACTATTTTGGGAGGTCTGAGGCTTTTTTGTAACTTGTTTATAAATATTCCTTGCAGTTACTCCAATCCACAGCATTGTAGCAAGTGTAGAATAATGGAGCACAATGCCAACCTAGAATAAAAGAGCAATACTGAATAAAAAATAAAGAAAAGTATGGAAAAATATAACATGCCACAGAGATCATTCTACTGGATATGTTTACAAGTATCCTTTTTGAAAATAAAATTGATTCCTTATTTATTAACTCTTTAGTACTTCCATGTCTCATATTAACCAGTACAAAAATGTGAAAGGGAAAGAAGGTGGCATTTCTGACTTAATTGCTAAAACTGGAGAAAGTCAAGATTCAAGATGTAAACTTTATTTTGTTTTTGTTTTTCCTCTCCTTTTGGTTAAAGGATTACTATTGTGATCATTTTTTCTGTTTAACCCAAGGAAAATAAAGAAGGTAATGTCCTTACTTTTAAATCATATACAAACAATCACCAAGTTACAAACATCTGACGTACAAATGACTCATAGTTAGGAAGAGGGGTGAAACAACAGGAAGTGAGAGAAATCTACTTCTGGGAAGGGAAAATCATTCCCGCAAGGTTATCATTGGGAAAAGGTGTCTCCATAGTAGCTTTATCGCCAATTCTTGTTTCTACGAGAAGCCAATTTTTTCAAAATCCAATTATCAGAAGGATGGAAAATGGGGTGAAATCTTCAGAACTGGGGCACAGACAGCAAAACAAACACCACAGGGGTTTTGTTCCTTCCTTATGCTAGCCAGAGCTTGTTTGCTTGCATATACCGTGTACACACACACACACACACACACAAGTATATTTGGCTGGAGTTACACTTTAAAAATGACCCTGCTCCGACATACATACAAATTCAACTTAAGAACAAGTCTACAGAACCTATTCTGTTTGTAACTTCAGGACTGCCTGAAGTGTACTTTTAGGTCCAAATTAGTTGTTAAGGGGAATGTATATTTTTCTGTGATTCACTTATTTTCTCTCTGACAAATGGATTTCCTCATAAATATATGCTTCACAATACAAGCCTGCAAAATCAAGGTTATATTTATTCTTCAGTGAACAACCAGAAAACAAAACTTGCTAAATTTTGGTGAGTTTGATCATGTGCTATAACAAATAGATGTTTTCTACCACTAGAGAGAAAAACTCATTTGAAAAAATAATCCATGCTAAATGAATTCTTCATTTTTTCCTTTATTAACCAATTGGAATATGCATGAAAGCTGAGCACATCTGCACAGACACTTTTTTCAATTTGCCCAAATATTATTTCTAGGAAAAGAACAATCACATTGCAAGAACGTGAGCATTTCTCTGGAGCAACCACATCTCTGTTGTTATGACTTACAATCATAGAGTTATAACCAAAATTCCTAAAAATACATTGGAGTAAATCCAATGTTAATCCTACTTAGACTAAACTCACTGAAATGAAAGAGATGTGTTAATCACAACCAACTGTACACTTTAGCCTACTGTTGGCTTTGGGGTAGCGAGGGGGGAGTTGGCTTTACTCTTTGCTATTTTTTTAATATATCCAAACAGTAGGCCTTGTTGAAAATGCTCCATGTAATGTTGACTGGAAAGACCTTTGTCCCTGTGACTGTAGGGATAGAAATGTAAAATAGCAACCTTGCAAATCTTGATACCTTTTGCTAGATCAAAGAAGAACTGTGCAAGGTGTATACAAAGCATGAAGCACAGATTCATGCTAATGTTGTACATTGAAATAACCAGCTGGATCACTTCACAAGTTACCTTATAATCAGAAAAAGTGTCATCACAGTCTGACATGGTGTGTGCATGTTCTAGAACAGGGGTCCTCAAACTAAGTCTCGAGGGCTGAATACAGCCTTCCAAGGTCATTTACCCGGCCCTCGCTCAATGTCAACCTAAGTCTGAAATGACTTGAAAGCACACAACAACAATCCTATCTCATGAGTAGTCCACACTTCTCATTGAACACTAATAAGTTTATATTTTTATAATTGTTCATTTTAATTATTTTATTGTTTTTAAGTGTTTTTTGCACTACAAATAAGATATGTGCAATGTGCATAGGAATTCATTCGTGCTTTTTTTCAAATTATAATCCGGCCCTCCAACAGTTTATGGGATTGTGACCTGGCCCTCTGTTTAAAAAGTTTGAGGACCCATGTTCTAGAAGAACCATTTTATTGGAGATGTTCGGTTTTACAACCGGCAGAGTTCATACACAACCCACACTGATGGCTTGTGATGCTTTTCTAATGCTCTGTATCTCTTTCTGCACACAGTACTTAAACTCCCGAGGTCTTTCCCAGCTATACATGATGTCCCACTGCAAACAGCAGTGAAAGCAAACCCTTTGTGTACACAGGTAATGATGCTTCCTGAGGATGCTGGGGGATATACCTAAGAGAATTAACCATCTGTAATAGATAACAGGTTTACAGCACTCAAAAGCAGGGCTGTGAAAACTACTCCTTTCATGGCCACAGTTCATGTTTGAATTTGAGCTTCTTGAATTAAAGCTCAATTGATTTGCTAAGCTTTGCTGGCAAGCGGATAATAGACCTGCTACTGTTTTGCTAATTATGTTGCATGTAATGCAAATTAAATGTATAGGGTCAATGAAAAGCAACCTCTTACTGTAGCATTTTGCCATTAACATTCAATTTAGCCTGGTGCAGAGATGGAAGTGACACATTCTAAAAACCAGACTCAGGGCACTTCCAGACAGAATGAAATCATGCATTTTCCATGAGAGGAAAAAAAAAATAACCAACAAAAAAACAAAAAAACCACCCAGGAACTGAGAGCAGGTTTGCATACAGACCTGCTGATCCTGGGATTTCTACCTGCGATGTTCAGACTTGCTGCTTCATTACAGGATTTTAATTAATTAATTAATTTAGCATATTTGTATCTTGCCCTTCTCACCACCGGAGGGGGACTCAGGGCAACTTCACAACAGGCATTCACTCAATGCCAACAACAGTAATAAATGATAAAAGAAATTAAAACAATTAGTTAATGCTTTAAAATTACTAAAACATTGTTTAAATCACGCAGGTTTGAAATCATAGTCCAGGTCTATCCATTGTAATTCACACAAATTGGGTCTCATTTTAAATTGCTGCCTCTACTGATCAAATGCTTGCTTGCAACTTGACCCGCAAGATGACTGCCTCAAGATGTCCACTGCAAATTTTGGCTTTAAAAAAAAACTTTAAATGTGCACAAGCGAATATGCACATGGTTTATACAAGTTTTATTCCTGTGTCATATTTATCTGTTCCTCCCTGCTTTTATCGTGAAAAGATGGCGAACGTTGACTAGAGAGTGAAAATTTTGTCCCGGCATGAGAAACTTTGCCCTCCACATTTTTTAATCAAGTCTGGGACACACAAACAAAGTTTGTGCAGTAGGGCCACTACTTTCAAAGTCAGGACTACATTATTAAACAGGAACTCACACTTTCAAGCCAGGAACGGAACTTTGCCATTATTATTATTATCATTCAGAGGCTGCATGGCCTTCTGTCCAAACAGGTTTCGTCATGTTACTTGTGCCTGGAAACAATGGGGTGATGTTCCTGGGTTATACATGCCAGTTCCTGGTTGGTTGTATCCTAAAAACATGGGGCAAGTTGATTACATGGCAAAACCTTTGTTTGTTTGTCACAAACTTCATTAAATGTGTGAAGTTTCTCTTGCCAGGATAACATGTTCACCCTTTTGTCAACTGTTGTCATTTTGGTTGTGTCAGGAGTGACTCCTCATGTGAGAGAATTGGCCGTCTGCAAGGACGTTGCCCAGGGGACGCCCGGATAATTTGATGTTTTTATCATCCTTGTGGGAGGCTTCTCTCATGTCCCTGCATGAGGAGCTGGAGCTGATAGAGGGAGCTCATCCGCCTCTCCCCGGATTTGAACCTGCGATCTGTCGGTCTTCAGTCCTTCCAGCACAGGGGTTTAACCCACTGTGCCACCAGGGGCTCCTAACTGTTGCCATGTTTTTAGGATACAACCAATCAGGAACCGACATATATAACCCAGGGAYAAACCAACATAAAAATCCTGTATTTTTCGAGAGCTGAGCAAAGGAAGATAGATGCTTTTGAACTGTGGTGTTGGAGGAAAGTTCTGAGAGTGCCTTGGACTGCGAGAAGATCCAACCAGTCCAAACTTCARGAAATAAAGCCCGACTGCTCATTGGAGGGAAGGATACTAGAGGCTAAGATGAAGTATTTTGGCCACATCATGAGAAGAAAGGAAAGCTTAGAGAAGACAATTATGCTTGGGAAAATGGAAGGAAAAAGGAAGAGGGGCCGACCAAGGGTAAGATGGATGGATGGAATCCTTGAAGTGACTGGATTGACCTTGAAGGAGCTGGGGATGGTGAYGGCCGACAGGGAGCTCTRGCTCCATGAGGTCACAAAGAGTCGGAAATGACGGAACGAATGAACAACAAAAGGGACACACAGAGATTAAAATATCTGCATTGTCTGGCCAGAACCAGGATATTCTCACAACTGAAAATCTTGCGTTTTTAGTGCTTTGTAGTGATTGCTCCCATGTTTTTAGGGGATGTCCTTTGGCCATCCTCCGTTTTCAACTGGGAGTTCCTGAGATAAAGGTACTATGTAGATGGGCCCTCAGTTATTTTTTCTTTAAATCAATGTTTTTACTCTTTAAAAAAGCAAACAAAAATAATCCTCTAAATCGCTCTGCTTCAAAAAATTCTGAATGCAAGGGCAACAAAAATGTATCAAAAATAAAAAAAATCTAGCCCTATAGGAATGAATCAGGATGGATATGGCACGTAACTTTAGAAATGTGACCTGCGTTACCTCCTCCTCAGCTCTGTTATTTTCATGGTCAGTTTGGTGTGTGTGTGTGGTTGTGTTTGTGACTGGAGGGGTAATTTAGAAGCTTTGTAAGAATCCAAAGAAAACTGAGCGTCTTGTACTATTTATTAGAAACTAACTTTTTGAAGTTGCCAGTAATTATGCATCTTGGTCTGTGGAGACATTTTAGATATATAAGCTTAATATGTGACGGTAAGGATTAAAATCCAAAACCACATCATAAAAATGAAT